GCTGAATATTAGAATATATATATATATATATATATACTTTGTGTATATATATATATACTTTGCTGATTTGAAATGCCAAGAATGAGAAGTGAAACTCATGTCATACAGGTTCTACAGCTACAAAAATCTCTATCTCTTCCCACAAAAGAGCAGAAAAGCAAAAACAAATCTAGGACCGTGGAGCTTTAGAAGAGGGTTAATCCAATGCTGAATATTAGAAGAAACTGTCAAACTTCTGGATTTCTCTTCTGCTTTTTAAAAGTGGACTTCTGAGGGATAGTTGCAAAACTATCCAGCTCACCTTTCTCATAAAAGATCTGAAACCCAAGATCCAAGAGAAAGGGCACAAAGCAAGTGTTCCTTTAGGGGAGAAATACAGCCACTAGCTTCATAGTGATTTCAATTACATTGCAGAACTTCATTGGAAGTCAATCAGCTCCAATGTTGGTTATGTGGAAATGTCTGATGTTTTCAAACTGGCATGGAGTACTTTTTCAGAAATGCCTACAGGTTCCTTGTCTACTTCTCCATTTCAACAGGGCCCTTTCGCCTCTGCAGACAGATTTTTGCATGACTACTTTGGGTGGAGTAGAGCAGAGGAGACATTATTTCCCTAAAAAACCTTGTTTAATGAAATTTTACTTGGTGTGTGTATGCACAACATCTTAGCAATTACCTACGATTTCTTCCAGTTTCTCAGAAAAAGTATTATAAGGTCTACTAAATTGCAAATTAAGGTAAGAACTAGCCAGCTATATTTCAGCCTACTGCGCTGTATGAACTAGCTCTTTGGATTAGTTTATAATTCACTGTTTCTGCATTGATAATAATCACACTTTAATTCAATTTTCTGTGTACAGACCTCCAATGTATTTTGTTTTGTTGATTTGCACAAAGACAGTCTATGGTATATGGAGAACAGGACTGACTGACTATTACTAGTCTGCAATCATATGTAAGCATATGACAAATGCAATCACACAAAACGTTTTGAAATACTCAAATAGAAGGAAGAATGATATATTAAGGAAAAAACACTTTTAAAAATATTTTGAAATGGAAAACTAATTCTGTTTCTGAATCTGTGTATCAACTTATTAGTATATTTTACTTGTGTCAGCTGTGGTTGTCCTCCTGAATCAGCCATCTGCAAGATAAGAAAGAGAAACCTAAATAAGCACACTTACCTAAAAAAGGATAAACCTTTCCAACATGATGATCTGGTGCTGATTGAAAGGTATGGGAGCTATTTCATGTTGGAGAAATGTGTGATAGGATATGTTTACACAAGACTGTTGACTTGGTCTGCAGTCCCCCTGTAGGATAACAGCATACGATCTTGGATGCCACATATGATCTTGGAATGCCCATCTTGTGGCAGCTCAAAAGTAGTTGCTTACTTTCTGCTTTTCAAAAAATTATAGGAAGATAATCTATGATGGCATGATCAAGGTTAGTAGCACAATAGGGAAAATGGTAACTGAAACAGACATAGCTCTCACCTCTTTCCATCAGTTTTATCACCCTGCATAACTAAAGGGATAGGAACTCTGCAGGTTAGCCCAACATAATCGTGGAAAGAGTTTTGCAAGTTGGTATTTGGATACATCTGAAATGCACAGCCTACCTTGAGGAAAGAGGTCTGGGTGGGATCCAGTTTAGAATTGCACTCCACCTGGGAAGAGAATAAAGCAGAGGTGGTATTCAGCAGGTTCTGACCAGTTCTGGAGAACTGGTAGTGGAAATTTTGAGTAGTTTGGAGAACCGGCAAATACCACCTCTGACTGGCCCTGCCCCCATCTATTCTTTGCCTCCCGAGTCCCAGCTGATCGGCTGGTTCTTCTTTTGTTGCCCTGCACAGGAGAACGGAGCTGGAAAGCAGGTTAGTGGCGTGGGGAGGGAATGGGATTTTGCAGTAACCTTCCCCCAGGAGTGGGGAGGGAATGGAGATTTTGTAGTATCCTTCCCCTGCCACACCCACCAAGCCATGCCCACCAAGCCATGCCCACAGAACTGGTAGTAAAATTTGTTGAATCCCACCACTGGAAGAAAGGTAGATAGCTTGAATCTAAAATAAACACAAGGTAAGAAAGAACACATTTTGGCTTCTAGGTAAGTAAAAAAGAGGCAGGAAATAGTCAGAATCTACTTACCATTTTGTGAAGCTTTTAAAAAAGACAAGTCTTCATCACTTACCACAGCATCTTCATGCGGAGCCTGGTCTCCCACCACCAGCATGATAGGACATCTGGCAAGAGGGCAGGAGAAAAGAAAAATGGTAGAAAGTTAGAATTGGAGGCCAAATTACTATAAATTGCTTGCAATAATCCGTTTTGGACCTACAAATTTAGAGATTGACTCCAAGTTATGTAAAAGAGCATAAACAGCCTAATCATGGGGGCGGGGTGATGTAACCAAGTAATCAGAATGTCAAAACAAAAAAACCCAAGAACAAACTTTATTATTTTTTTTTTGTTTGGTGGGAATTATGGGTCAAAAGAATTGGAAGTAATGCCAGGTAAGTTGGTCTAATATTGAGGAAAATATGAAGGGAGAGATTAAGGAAGAGAAAAACTGAAGTCAAGAAACAGCATTCCTAGATGCTTGATTACCGAGTTAACCATTTTTAGACCACATAATGCCTTGGTTCAGAAACCAATGAAAAGAGCCAGGTTGGTACATCGTGCTAAATTAAAATTTCAATGCAAAGCCAATGCATCCTGCAGTTCACTTTCTAGTAACCTAATTAAACCTGCCTTGTCAGCACAGCCAGAATCTATGGACTATAAAGGGCTAAAGGTGGCTTGCTGGAGTTATTCAGATCATCAGGGCTGCTATTGTTCAAGAATTAAAGTAGGTGCTGAAGACTAGAATCCTTTTCTTTTTCTGCCTACACACACACACACACACACTGGTGCGTGCCCGCATGCACGCGCGCACACACACGAAAACAGCAGGCTGATCTATTATTTTCTCCCTCCATTGTTTACTTCTCCTTATCTCTCTTTCTAGTGATGAATATTTCTCTTGTGCCAGAATGGAGAGTGATGGGGAACATTGGCGGTTAATATAAAGTGAGATAAGGCAAGATAAACAAGAGATGAAGAAGAGCGTGCCTTGTGCATTGCATATTTGTATTTCCCCATCCCTTTCTGTTGGAGGGAGCCTTTGACTCCTCCCCTCCTTATTGGCCATGTTCAGGCAATAACTTGATTTGCTAGACCATGGTTTAAAACCTCCAAATCTGGGTTCATAAATTTATGACTTATTTAAGTCATAAATAAGTAAATTAGGTTTGGTTTTATTTGTAGTGTGAGCACAGCCAGTTTAGCATAGCTGAAGAAACAATTGCTGTAAGAATCTCAAATTTTCAAATGACAGTTTTACTGTAAGAACAAATTCTCAAGACACAAACAATCCAATAAACACCCCCCTTGAAACCTGGGAAAACAGAAGATGGGACACTGTCGCAGCAACATATACTCAGGATTGGTTCTTTCTTTTGCAGTTGGAAGACCCTCAAAGAAAAGAAAAGCCCCCAAACTTCTCTTAATTTAATTTAAACCAATTTGTGTGGCCCCAAAAGACACATCTATGAATTGCTGCAGACTTTTGGCAGGGATATCAATCATATGTTAGTCAGATGCTCTTTCTTTGCACGAGACTGCCTCTGAAAAATTGAGGCAGACATTCTGTAGGTCCAAGTTCCAACATGAACAAGCGAGGGGGCTCTGTTTAGAAATCCCCCTTCTAAACACATTCAGAGAGAAATGAGGCAGACTTGTTTATGTATATTGAAGTGGTTTGCTGCTGAATTTCTGTGGTTGCTTTGACAGAGAGAAAAAAGTTACTGTATTTTGCTGTTCCTCCCTTACCCCACTTTTGGCCTCTTCTGTGTAGGACTTACATATAATAAGACGAGCAGCAAAATTAATTTTCCCTTAGAGCAAATATATAGAAGCAGGAGGCCCAACTCCCTCTTGAATTTGGCAGAAGAATCAAGTCCCACATGGATCAAAGGACTCTTTTGCATTCTACCAAAGTTGCTGGCATGAACACCTGAACAGATGTCTTGCTGAGTTTATATAAATTCTGGATTTTGGGGCTGTACAAACAGAAATGAAATGTCTCTTTCCTTTAGCACTCCTTGGGGATTTCTTTGTCTATACAGACATTTTATTATCCAGAAAGCTAGTAGGTGACAGGTAGAAATAGCATCGGCAAACTGAATATTTGGATTTTAACAGCAGCAACATCAGTAGCAGACAAAGAATGGTAATTTTTCAGTCCAGCCTCGAAACAGGGACCCATGGAAAAGAAAAAGAAGCCGCCACAGTTCTTATATTTAGACCTAACATACAACATGTCTTTTTTTAGTCCCCTTACACTCTTTGAGCTAGCAGTGTGATTTTTGTTTCCCTCTTGCCACTTCTAAAAGTTATTCACATGGTGACATCTTTTATTTTGGATTAATTAATTATGCAAGCAAGTCTCTGAGGCTTCAGAATGAGGAGCAAAAAATAGAGAAGCATAAGTCAATTAGAGTACAATGAATTAGAATGAAAAGCAGAAGGACAGATTGGGGGAGGGGGGCACTGCTTTATTTTTAAAAAGTTCTTTTTCAGTTTTTCTCCCTAATGATTTTAAAACCTAGGGTATAGGTGTTTAGACATCAAACAACTGTATAAAGAGTTGCCAGGTTTTAATACCTTAAACCACATCTTTTTCTGGCATCATTTTTATCTCCATACTGTGAGAAGTTTCATTTGCAGGATATTAAAGATAGGTCAACCCATATTTTTCATTAGCTGGCAACTTCTTTTCATCCGTGATTTTTAGTACCAAATTATCCCAAACTGATAAGTATGTCCAACGTCACCCCATTGCTAAGTTTCCCCTTTTAAGGATTCAAACTTAATTACATGCGAACTCCGTCAGAAATGTTAGTGGTAACTTCAGATGGTACATGCATAGAACAAATAAATGAGCTTAGAAGATGCAGAAAGGTTAAAGACTGGTTGACACTCACTTGAATGTGGTATCCCCTCCACGTTCCAAGCTCAAATCTCTGCGGCTATGAAGAAAAAGGAAGGGAATCGTAAATTACTACTTCAGCCTCCTTAGGATAGCTTTTTTTTACACCAATTACCCAGTCCCTTTCTCTCATTTTCTCCACAAATATAGAAACATAGAAAACTGATTGCAGAAAACAACCTAGTGGTCCATCAAGTTGTGCTTTGAGGTTATTTGATTTTTCGTTTTCTTTTTAAACAATTTATTATTTTTTAATTGTTATTTTTATATTTTTTAAATTTTTGTGGGATGATGGACATGTGTTTATCCCAAGCATGTTTAAACTCACTTACTGATGATTGACCCACTACACCTATGCTGGAAGTTCATTCCAAGCTTGCGCTTCTTTCTGTGAAGTAATACTTTTAACATTCCCTCCTGTCAGTTTGAGGTTATGCTCCTATATTCTTGATTTTTTGCTTAATATTGAAAATACTGTCTTCTAGAACCTTATTAATACATTTAAAAGTTTCAGTCATACCCCTTTTCCTTCCGTTTTCCAAGCTGTACATATTCAGTTCCTCCCATCTTTCTTGATGTTTTGTCCTTCAGACCTCGTGCCCATTTCTGGACTTGCTCAATCTTGTCAATATATATATTTAAATTATGTCTAGAACTGGACATATTATTCCAAATGGGGTCTGACTAAAGTCCTATATAGTGGGATTGGAATATCTTTTTTCCAGCTGGTGATCTGTCCAGTTAAGCATCCCAGAATTTTGTTTGCCTTCACAGCTGTCTGGCCACACTGTTCATTTTGAAGTCATCTGCTATGAGCACACCCAAATATCTCATAACCTGGCTTTCTACTTGCTTTCCCTGATCATTTCTAATATTTTTGTTGGTGTTGTTTACATAATTGCAACCACAAGATTTAGAAACTAACCTAATTTGATAAATGAAACCTCCAGCCTTTAGAGTGAATGTTTCTAGTGTCACAAATTTGGTAGAGTTTTTAATATTTTCTTTTCATGTGGAGAAAACAGGTCTATCAGATTTGGATTGCAAGTATCATGGTAACAACTAGATGGCAGCACAGAATATGCCTTCTGAATATCTTTGCTGCCTTTTAGCGTTTGTGTGGATTTTTGCAGACAAGTCTGATAGCTCCAGGAAAGCACCTTTAGAATCCTAATACATATCAAATATATAATACTATGTCCAGTGATTTATCTATTTCAGTATTTTTCAAATTTGGCAACTTTAAAATATGAAGATTTCAACTCTTATTAGTCAGCATTCTGGTGCTTTGAGAGTTGAAGTTCATACATTGTAGAATTGCCACAGTTTGAAAAACTGAACTATTCTGTATTGTTATCATTAATGATAAAACGTTTACAATTTTTAAACTAATATTATATGGGATGGCTTCCACAAGATCAAAATTAAATATAAATACTTAAGTCATCTTCCTTTCAAGTTTAATAATTAATTCACTGATTTATATTATGGCATTTCAATACAATGCTCAAATCCCCAGGGCCTAGTTTTTCCAAGGTTGTAAAGAGAGCAGAGACTAAATTTATGATTGAGTCATATGAAAATTGCCCATTAGAATGGCAATTCCTAAGCTGTAAATTATGAAGGAACTCCTGAAACAGATCTGGAAAAGTCAATTAATTAAATAATTATAGAATCTTGTAAGTTTTGGAAAAACCCATCCAGGCTCAGCTTCATTTGAAGTAGGAGGCTTTCTTAGGCCTATACGAAATACTTATGGGTCTGTGATGGCTACTTTAGATGCAGATTGTGAATAGGTGAAGTATCTCTTCTCAAGTACTGACCCCCATACGCTAGCAACCAAGAGGAAAGTGTTTGAAAAGTTTATGTTTAGACTGGTTCCTTTTGCTTGGACATCCTTCTCCCCATTGTGTCCTAGTTTGTTTTCTACACATAGGACTATTCTGGCAGCCGCTGAGAGCTTAACCTAGACTCAGCCTTGCCCTGTCCTCCCTGTCCCCACAACCTGTTGTAACTACTCCAGTAGAGTTGAATGTTGGGTAAATTTGTAGCATGACTCAGGATATCCCGTTGTTGTTGCACCATCTCAGTGTTCTTGGAAAGTTCCTCCTGTGGAAGAAGAGGAGTGTTACTCCTGTAACTTAATCTCACCATTACTCCATTAAATTTATCTAATCTCTAAGGCTGCCAAGTTTTTAACCAGCCTCTGTTACTTGTGGCTTAACATCCATCTCCTTTGGCAAGGGATTTTCTGCCCTCGATGCTAAGAAAATGTATGTCTGTTGACTTCTGCACCTCCAATTGATGTTAAAGGCACTGAAATAGACCCAGGTTTCTTCTATCATTTTCTCTCAATCCAACTGTAATTATGATTAGTCATATAACTCCAAATCAATGCCATTTCCCCCGGAAAATAAATATTACAAATAGAATGAGGAATGAGGATAATAATAATAAAAACCCTAAACTTCTAAAGCAATGTTTCTCAGTCTTGGCAACTTTAGGATGTATGGATTTCAACTCTCAGAATTCCCCAGCCAGCATGGAATTGAAGTCTACACATCTTGCCACAATTGAAAAACACTGTTCTAAAGTAAATAGTTCTAGCTTGCTTTCAAAAAAGAGGAATTATTTTCTTGTTGCCTATTTTTATTTATTTTTTCACTATAATATCAATTGTTCTCCAAGAATCATTCCAATTGCCTAGCATAGCTGGAATAGAAAGTAACCAGCAGTCTCTTATATATTAACTTTTGATGTAATGTAATACAGTTCAATACATGCATCTTAAAAAGCCTGTCCTAGTATTACCAGGGAGCTGGAAGTGAAGCGAGACTAACTATCTTATTCTGATTTTTTATGTACCATCCATCATTTCTTTATTCTCCTACTCAGTGGTGGGATTCAAATAATTTAACAGCCGGTTCTCTGCCCTAATGATTTCTTCCAACAACCAGTTCACCAGACTGCTCAGAAAGTTAACAATTTTCCCGAACTGGTGCGAACTGGCTGAATCCCACCACTGCTCCTACTGGTCATGCATACCTGGCTGAAGAGATGTCCTAGGATCATCTCAGAAATGGAGGAGGTGAGGCCAGTAAGCTTAAGAAAAAACAGAATATGATTAGAGGACAAACAGAACATTATTTTGAAAGGGCAAAACTGATATTTGTACAGGTAGTCCTCAACTTACAGCCACAATTGACCCCAAAATTTATGTTGCTAAGTGAGGAATTTTTAGGTGAATTTTGTACCATTTTATGACTTTTCTTGCTGCATCTGTTAAGTGAATAACTGCAGTTGTTAAATTAGTAACACAGTTGTTAAATGAATCTAATTTCCCCATTGACTTTGCTTGTCAGAAAATTGCAAAAGGGGATCATATGATTCCACAACACTGCAATTGTCATAAATGTGAATCAGTTGTCAAGCATCTGAATCAAAATCACATGACCACAGGCAATGGTCATAAGTGTGAAAAGTGTCATAAGTCACTTTTTAGTGCTGTTGTAACTTTGAACGGTCACTAAATGAGCTGTTATAAGTTAAGGACTATGTGTACAACAGGAAAACTAGAGTCTTAAAACTAAAGTCATTGGCTTATGCCTCCATAGCTTAAACAGTGCTCAAGCCTAGAGATTTTTTTTTGTTTAATTTATATGCCACCCATCTTCCTTCAATAATGATTTAAAGGTTGATTCTGCCAGTATGCAATGTACCACAGAAAAAGGTGCTTTTGCATGTATACAAACTGTATTTTGTTGTATCTTTGAATTACGTTTAAAATCCCTGCAATAAAGAAGCTGTCCTTTAGATACTTTTTTCCACTTCTATACTTTCTAATCTTTTTTTTTGTTCTATATCCCCAAAAGTTGGGAAACAATATCAGAATAATATTTAGTTAATTTTCCTAGATGTTAAATGATTTGCTTTTTGGAAGCTAAATGCATTAACTTTAGTTTTAAGAAATAACGAAGTATGTATGAGAAATGTGTCAACTTTGTTTGAGTGTACTTAAATCAACTAACAATGGCCAGAGAAAGTAAGTAGGAACTGTTCCATTCATTGTCCATTCTCAAGAAACTGTTGTAGAGAGTCAGAGATGAGCATTTAAATGGCTTAACTTAAAAACTGGAAGAATTGGGAGTTTCCTATCACTTGATGAACTATGCCAAATAGTCCATCCCCCTATCAATATATACCTATGTGAAAACAATAAACTATTTTAGTCTCTAAATCCCAGCAGTGGACTGACACATGCACACAAGCAATTGCTGATCTTCTCTTGAAGCTATATGGCCAACATGTGGTATTGTTAACACAATTTTAGCAAAAGTGTGACAGACAGAAGTATAGTTGTTCCAGATCCTGGATAAAATAATTAAATCTTACAGAATAAATGAAAAATAGCAAGAAAGTGCTATTTCTATAAATAGCAAGAAGGTTGCCCCTCATTGCTTTAATCAAACACTGATGGTCATTTTAATTACTTGCTATAGTCCTGTGTACAGTTTGTTGGCACACAACTATGAGCATCTTCCTCAATCTTACCTTATGAGCAGCCCAATCCATCCAGCCCTTGGCATTGGGGTCAATGTTTATCAGAACCAACCCCTCCACAGTGTCTGCATGGGAGAGCTGTGGGAAAATAAGAACACTTAGAAATAACCATAATCATGATTTAACTGCAATGACACAGCTCAAGCATACTTTAGGATAATTCATCACATTCATTATACATATTTTCAGACCTGCCCAAAATATACAGTAGAAGTAGGCTATAGAAAGAGATGTACAATGTTTGCATGGTCCATATCCATGTCCAAACTTCAATGTATACTGGCTGTATTCACATAACATGCTTAACCTCATTACTGAATCAATCCACTTTCTGTATTGAACCACAAGCTCACCAAATGGCCTGAATTGACACCATATACTAACCACATTTATTGAAAATATTAAAGCCACTAGATCTTGGTTACATATAATAAATACCAAAGCCCAACAAAGTGGACAACAAAGAACTAACACAGTACCACTAAATTTGGATTATTATCATGAGATTTATCTACTGATCAGGGAAAACATAATATAAGAAAAGTCACTAGAATGACTAGTGATGTAAAATACATTTTTCATATTCCAAGGTTAAAGCTGGTTTATTGTAGATGATTAGCCCGAGCCCAAGGGAGGGTTCAAGCACATCATAAGACACGAGTCCTTGTTTGCTCATAAGAGATCTAAGTCCAGGCCAGTCTTGAATGCTTCTCTTATCTTTCCTGCATTTCCCTTAATGGTCAGTTGGTCAGATTCTTGTAGAGAGATTATGCGTGTAATAAATGTTTATACTCATTTGAATTGCCTGAATCTCCTGTTCTCCCTGGCACTTGATAGTTATATAGTTTTGTATGTTCCAATGGTTTGAAATCCTAACTTCCATCAGCAGGACACTGGGAATAATAATTCAAAATATTTGAATGACTTATCAATATATTCCTGGGCTAGGGTGTTGGGGACTTTTAGTTGGATGTGAGGGAGACAATGGGGAGACAACTGGCAGAGAATAGTAGAGTTTTACCAAATTAAAAACAACAAAAAGGAAAAAAGGAAAAGAAAGGAGTTCCTGTGGATTTTACTGTGCTAGTCTTTAGTGACTATAGGGGGTAGTTGTTCATCTCTGTTTCAAGGCTGTTGACCGAGTGCTGTCCGAAGACATTTCTGTGTTCATAGCATGACATCACAGAACGCTGTTTCCTCCTCACTGAAGTGGTACCTATTTATCTACTAGCATGTTCATGCTTTCAAACTGCTACCGTGTTTCTCACATAATAAGGCCGGGCCTTATTTTTTTTTGAGCCCCGAAAAAACGGCTAGGCCATCTTTTCGGGGGGTGACTTAATTCCCCCCCTTGCATCCTCGCCAACAGCCGCTCCTAACGGGTGATCATGGCGAAGCGCAGAGAGCTCCCTACTCCCACCTTTGCTGCAGACACCTTTGGCACCCGCCGCTGTTGCTTTCCCTTCTGCCCATTCCGCCGCCACGTTTGGAGCTGGTGCTTCCGTGTTTGGAGTGCCGCCGCCATTTGGAGCTCCAAACGTGGAAGTGGCAGCTCCAAACATGACGGCGGGCGATCTTTTTATTTTGGTCCGCGCGAAGTTCAGAGCGAGCAAGAGAGGGAGACTGCGATGCCTCCATCCGAGATGACAGCCTCACTAGTGGATCACAACGTGGCTGGAAGCCCGAATCGGCGGGATACGATGGCAATCTTTTTGGAGCAAGAGGAAAGGGAGAGAAGAGTTGCGAGGCGTAATTTGCAGGAGGAAGTGGGTGTACCCCACGGCAGGGAGCCCAAGGAAGAAGGGCCGGTAGGCAACGGAGAGCGTCCCGTAGCTCCGGAAGCAGCCTAGAGACACGCCCGGGAAGAGGCGCAGATGCTGCCTTGTAGTCCCCAAACCAACTCCAAACGTGAACATGTTCCAAACGCGAAGCCGGTCGCTAAAGAGCCAGAAAGCAGCAAGGGTGCCAGGTGGAAAGGACAGGGTCACGATCACACGGAGATGCCCAGAGAGTGGAGCGCACATAACTAAAGGCGGCGCACGCAGTTGGTTTGGGGACTACAAGGCAGCATCTGCGCCTCTTCCCCGGCGCGTCTCTAGGCTGCTTCCAAAATAAAAAGATCGCCCGCCGTCATGTTTGGAGCTGCCACTTCCGCATTTGGAGCTCCAAATGGCGGCGGCACTCCAAACACGGAAGCACCAGCTCCAAACGTGGCGGCGGAATGGGCAGAAGGGAAAGCAACAGCGACGGGTGCCAAAGGTGTCTGCAGCAAAGGTGTTTGGTGGGAGTAGGGAGCTCCCCGCGCTTCGCCATGATCGCCCGTTAGGAGCGGCTGGTGGCGAGGAATTCCTGCCCGCCGGGCGCTCCTAACGGCAAGTCTCCCGCCCTTCCCCCTTATTTTGCATATTTTAAGATAGGCCTAAATTTGGGGGGAGGGGCTTAATTTGATTTTATGCCCCAAAAACATGCTGGGCCTTCCTATTGGTGGAGGCCGTATTGTTGGAGAAACACGGTAGATGGGCAGGAGCTACACAAAGATAGGCAGTTATCCCACTGCACAATGTTCACTTTTCAAACCTGGGCTGTTGGCTTTCCAGTCAAGAAGTCCAATGTCTTAACTACTGAGCCATTGTGCCATCCCAAAAAACAACTATATTAAAAACAACAGGGGAAAATGGAAATACTTTTTCACTGTCATGGGACCATGTGGGATTCCTTATTGAAACAGATCAAGTGAAGATTCAATATGGACAAAGGAAAGCACTATTAGTTTACTTCACAGAAAGTGTATAGCAGTTACAGTACAGTACATACAGTAGAATGCAACCACACAGGATGCAGCGAGATTGCCAGTTTAGAACAGGTGGCTTTAGTTACTATGATTTGGGGCATCACAGAAAACAACTAAGCAAATTTTTAAAAAATGTATTAAAGGAGATGGAAAAAGGAAAATACCAAGTCTACCAAGGATGGTGGTCTGTGATAATCAAACTTCCTTAAGCCTCAAAATGATACAGATGTTTAGCAGAAGATATGTTATTATCAGTTAACAGAAGCAACTTGAGACTTGAGATAGGCAGAAGATGAAGCATCCATGATACAGCACTACTTTTTTTCTGTTTTTTGGTTTTGATAGGGAAAATCCTTCAACTAGATCATTTACTTCTACTCTCTTCCCCACTATGGATACCAATTATCAAAACCTCTTAAACACTAGAGTGACAGTTTTATTGCAACAACATTTATGTTTAGAGGAGGCAGTGTTAAGTGAATCAAATTAGGCTTGGGGCAACCTAGGTTGACATATTCCCCACTCAATCATGAAACTCAATATGTACTCTACTTCAAATGGTTGTTGTATTTTTTTAAAAGTGCTAGCTCAAGGATAACATGAGAGATAATTGGAGAGATATGTTTTTTATGCCTGAGAATTATAGTAGTTAATCTAATTCAACTCAGAAGTTAGATTTATATATGTCATTAAACTATGGTTTGTTGACTAAGTTTCAGTAACTGAAACACATCTAGCTCACCTTTTAAAACATGATATAGTTTTATATAACTAGATTTTGGCAAGATGGAAAATGTAGCCACTGAATTCAACCCTTAGTTTCTGGGCTTTGCAACTAATTTTCAGGGACACCCATGGGAGAAATAAGATTCAGTTGCCATCTTTACTGAGGATTCTCCTGGATTTGTTCGCCTACACAAGACAAGGCAAGACCTTGCCAGCTGACCCATCTGAATACCATACAACTAAAAACCTCACTGTGAATTGTTTTCCTCCTTAGTCAGGAATCCAGCCACTCTCGTTGCCTTAAGAAAGTTCAAAACATTCTCAAGGATCCATCTCATCCTGGCCCCCCTTTTTTTAATTATTACCATCTGGCAGATGGTACAGGATAATAAAAAGGACAAATAGTCTGAATAACAGCTTCTATCCCAGGGAAGTAACTCTATTGAATTCTACTGTATACTGCAATATTAATGCAACATCAGAGGTTTTCAATTCATTGTATAGAATGTGAAGGATGTGTGTTTGTGTTTATTTTCATAGTCATAATGTACACTGAATATGGTATTTAATTTCATTGTATGAGGTGCAATGACAATAAAGTAAAGTGAACTAAACTATGAATTGTTTTCCTACTTAGTCCTGTTATAGTCAGGAACCCAGCCACTCAGAGGCCTGATCTGCTTGTGACTTTCAGAGATGATCAAGTCACCCTGACTTAAGGATATGACCATGCCCCTTTGGCATGCAGAACATGTTTGCCTGCATGACAGATACTAGGCCCTATTTCACTTACACTATAGCGTGCCAAGATATATGCTCCAGCTCCAACTCCAATTCCAATGATGCTGGTGAAGCTGTGGAAAGGAAAAAAGAGGTTGCAAAGGGCAGTGGAACAGGGGCAGCCTTGATTCTTCAATGAAGTTCAGGTAGAGAAACAATTTTCAAAATTTGTTTTCGACTTGCTGATTTTGTACTTTTTTTTTTTAAAGTATTCGCAGTTTGAAATATCACAGGTTGTGTTTGTCACAGGTTGTGTAATTTTACCACCACTGTTTCCATTTTTTGTCACTCTCTCCTATTGTCTATATTTATTTATTTACATAATATGGGTTGGCATCTACAGCCTGAGAAGCCTCATAGCTGCAGAATTTTTGTTATTGTTGCTTCAGATACCCATTTATTGGGTATCATTGTTTCAGTTTCAGTCATTCTGAGATATAACATAAGCCCTAAAACAGACTTATCACAGTTATTTTTAAAATAGCCCTCTGTTAAGAAAAATGAAACTGTAGTCTTACCTATAAGTGTAATTACTCAAAATTTTAAATACATAGGGCTCATCGTGACAACTTAGTTTATAATCAATCATCAGGTTTTAAGATGCCCCTAAATAATCTTCTGATGAATTACTATATCTATATTTCACAAGCAGTAAAATACCAGATGGTAGAGCTGTGCAATGCCTCAACGAATGAACACAGCATCTGTCTTCAGCTCTTTAAAGCAGCCACCTTTTCCCCAGGATTATTCAGTTGCAGCTGCTATGTGATCTCAGATAAGAAGACAGAGAATATTAAGACATGGCTGCTTTAAATAGCTGTAGACAGATATGTTTTCAGTTTCACATCCTCCAAATAAGCATTTTGGAATCAAATTCAAAGCAAGACTTCCTTCCCTGTCCTGACATCCTATCATCCTCTCCAGACTCACTTGACATATTGCAAGATACAGGGGATCATGTCAGCCAGCTGGTCCAGAGAAGGATACTGATATCTAGAAAGGTAGGAGAGAATAGGGGCTGCATTAGACAGTTTGATCCTCTTCGCACCCAACACTGCAAGTGGGGCAGGAATGGAGGCTGCAAGGCTCACCCCAGAGGGAAGGCCGGGGCCCCCTCCTCCATGCCAGGTGCGTCCACATGTATCACCACGAAGTTCTTTATGATCTCTTGCATGTCCTCATAGTGGAAGAGAGTGTCGAAGCACGAATGATCTGGGGTGGGGGTGGGGATGAGGAGACAGAAGAAGGGGGTGTCAGGCTGCAGAAGGGCAAGTGGTCATGCCATCAGAAGGGCAAGGCCTAATAAAACAGGGACAGCCCTGCTTGGGAAATAGCCATAGTTTCATGGGTGCTAATCAATGTGCCACTATGATATTTTGCTTCACAAGGCAATCTTCTGCATGTTTATTAAGAAATACATCCTCTAGTATTCAGCAACATCTAGGAAATATGTAAAGCGCTCCAATATTTGCCACAAACACATTTCACAAGAAAGCAAAATGTTCAGAAGAGTGGGTAAATCTGAATTAGGCACCTTCCATGCCTCCATGTAAGAAAAACGGAAGGAGGGAAGCCTTAAGGGAAGATTCAACCAAATGGGTGGACGGAGAACTGCAGAATAGGCTGCAAATCATACTGAAAATGTTTTTTAAATATATCAGAGTTTGAATTTGGAATTTTAATTTTAAAGGATAAATACATTTTTTTTTAAAAAATAGCAAGTGATGGAGCAACATTTTCTAAACTTGAGGTCTTCCAGAAATGATGCAACTGAATTCTAAGAGAGGGCTTAACACGTGGTATGGGACTGAAGAAAATTGGTATAAAATTTGAGTTTTCTTTTTTTTAAACTTAGAATTGCACTTTTGGTTAGGATATCAAGTTGTCTTTCTGTAACTCTTTTCTGCCCCTTAGTGGCTACCTGCTCTTTTGCAATTCAGATCTGGTATTGTTAATTTTGAGTGGAGGCTGTGAAAGGGGCAAAAAAACAACAACCCTTCAATAAATCTGCAAACACATTTTGTGATGATTTAAACTTTTTGATTGTGGAAGGAAGAATATAAATGCTATAAAATATGCATGTAATTCTCGCAACAATCCTATGAGAGACAACATTATTGTTTCTATTTTCCAAAGAGAGAACCACGTGTTTTGACTCGACATTACACTTGCCTTAACGATGACTGTTCCAAATCTCTGCTGAGAAATTGAACATTTCCTAACCCATAAGCAGAAATAGCCAGATGGAATAAAAATATTATGTACGATAGAGAAAGAACAGCTCATTTCCTTCCTTTGTCTTCTGTTTACCTCTTTTATTGAGTGGCTAATTTCTTCTAGCAGTTGGAAGAAGGAGGAAAAGGGGGATGGAAAATTAGCTGCTAAGATAAGAAGTGATAACTAAGGGGAAAATTCAACCGGCAGCACTTCATTCTTTTTCCTTAATATCTCCATATTTTACTGCATGCTGCTGGATGAATTTTTGCAGTGTGCAGTAGACAACAGCTTTGGAGAGGCATGCAGGGAGGCAGACTCAGTATCATCTGCCTAATATCCTCATTCAAAGATCATCAAGCAGTCAGATCTGAAAATCTGGAGTGTTACTAAGTGTTAGTTTGGTAGCAGAGGTAGGTTTATCCAAATGAGAATACAGACAGAGGGCAGAAGAAAGTAGAACATTATCCATAGATCAAAGGAAGGCACAGTAATCTTACTAAGGATCACAGAGACTTCTTTTCTTTCTTGCTTCCCTGCTTCCCTTCCCCCTCCTTCTTTCCTTCCTTCCTTCCCTCTCCCCTCCTTCCCTCTCCCCTTCGTTCCTTCCTTCCTTCCTTATCTATACTTTTGCAGCCTAGGTTTGATAGTTTAGTGTGGTAGGTCAAATTGCAGCATGCTCCAAGTTAAATCCCAGTTCTTTAATAATAGCAGTGACCAAAAATTGTTCCAATCATTAAATTCTCCAATTTGTAATAATTCAGATATACATTTGTATTTGTATATATAGGTCATGTCAATATGTAGTCATAAACTGCAAAAGAACTTGTTTTCTATTTCCATTACTTTCCCTCAGCTACCACTTGGAATTGTGGTTTAGTTGAGCTTTTAATAAAACACAAAGTCAACACTGCATGTATATACATACATAAGTTTCTGACCTTGCCAAATGAGAAATTATTGGGATTTTTCCAGAATAAGATCTTTTTAAGGCTATATGAGTTTTACTGAAGTTCTATATACTCTCTTGATGAATTGTGTTAACTGTGAAACTCCCTGTTTCCCATCACCCACAGCCCCAACCAAGTGGATGTTCTGATCTTACGATTTTGTCCCACATCATGATAGGTGAGGATAGCTGGACGTTTGGGCTTGGGTGTCCCATGGATGGTGATGGTCACAACCCCATAAGGTGTCTCCACTGTGTGTTTCTGTAGAAGAAGAAGAAAGACTAAGATGAACAGCTGAAAGATTGCAAAGATCCTAGCCCTTTGTGAGTAATTGCAATGAGGATCATCCTGAATTCACAGAAAGAGAAGTTAAATTGTGAGGATTGGTGAGACCTTCAGTGTTTGAGAAAACTTTGCATGTTCACAAGCACTCATTCTGCGATATGGGATCCAACAAATTTGGATGTTCCAAATTCTATGTAAATGAAGATTGTATGCATTTATACACACAAACAAAAAATGTTCTTATGGAACCCAATTACATCAATTACAGCTTTTCCATATAAAAAAGCCAAATAACATGCTGGGGGAAAAAGTCCTTTGGAGCCAAAAGACAACACAGAACTGGCAGAAGTTCAAACATTACTCCGGGTCAAGTCAGTTATGTATGTGAGGCTAGGTAAATATAGTGTCTGCATAAAAAAGAAGCCATTACTGTACACAAATGTAAAAAAAATACTGACTTTTGCAGAATTAATTAGCTTATTTTGCAAAATGTTTTCTGCTTATCCATATAACATTTGCCTCCTTCCAATTGTTCAGTTTAGTTAAATTGCTAGGAAAAGAAAGCAAAATAACTCATAATGGAATACTTCTGTATCTCTAAATTAAAAGTTTAATTTTTAAAAGATCTTGTGTTGAAGGGAAGTTCTCATAGCATAGATACAACTTACAACAGTTCGTTTAGTGACTGTTCAAAGTTGCAATGACATTGAAAAATGAGACATATGATTGTTTTTCACACTTCAACCATTGCAACATCCCTATGGTCACGTGATCAAAATTCAGATCCTTGGAACGGACTCATATTAATGATGGTTGCAGTATCCTGGGGTCATGTGGTTAGCTTTTTTGACCTTCTGACAAATAATATCAATGGGGAAATCAAATTCACTTAACAGCTGGGGCAAGGCAGGCTGTAAAATGGGGCAAAACAGCTGTCTCACTTAGCAACATAAATTTTGGGCTCATTTGCAGTTGTAAGTCGAAGACTATCTCTAAAAGACAGCATTATTCCTTATCTATGAGCTGCACTGTCCTGTTACCTACCCGACAGCTGAAAAACTGGTATTTCTTTTCCTGCTTCCTTCTCACCATCTATATTTCCATTTAAGGGATGGAACCTTGGTTCCAGAAGCCTTTATTTTAATGAAAACCATTGCTGTTGGAATTTTGTATCCACACTGAAAACAATTACATCAATACCGTAGCTGTATAAACTTCTGTTTTGACATGGTTTTTTTGACTAAAAGTGATTCTCAACCTCAGCAACTTTTAAGATGTGGGGATTTCAACCTTCAGGATACTATGGTAAAAAGTAATACTTATTAAGTTTTATGGTTCCTGATAGCTCGTTTTCTGCTTATTCTTACTTGGAGTTCAGCTCAAGGTCCATATTATGCCAGTTTTCATCCTTCAATATAAATATTAAATTTATAACATATAAATATAATCTGTAACTGTAAAACCTATCTTGAAAACACTGTGCGCTGAAGGACTTGGCAGGTTAGAAAGTGTGACTTTCAGAGCAAGTCTTGCTTGGCATTTGTTAATGTTGTCTATTCTACCACATTTCAGAACAAGTGCTCAATTCATCAGGGAGAACAGACCATTTCCACCTTGTAGTTTTCATAATGCCCGGAGAAGGACTTGGGTCAATAATGAAAAACAATCAAGTTCTGTTTTGTTTTGCTTTAAATTCATTGTTTATTCTCCCAGCCCTTCCTGCTAAGATTTTTCTCTAATGGCACACAAGTGAACTCAATGTGTTCAAAAGCAACTGGAGAAGCAGGGAAGGGCTGTGTCATTTGGCACCCAAAGATATTTCTTTCCAGAACCAAAATAACACAAGGCAAGAAAAGGAGTGAAAGCAGAAAATGAACAAAGCAGTTCAGAAGACAGGTAGACAGTTTAGATGTAATGAGTTTCTTGAGGAAGGGAGTCACAATTTTTTTTTAAAAAAAGGATTGGGAACTCAAGGATTGAGTTGAATAACCTTAGAGAAGCTCACCAAATGAAACACAATGTGTACAGGTAGTCCTCGATTTACAACAATTCATTTAGTGATGGTTCAGAGTTACAACAGCACTGAAAATTGTGACTTATGACCATTTTTCATAGTTATAACCTTTGCAGCATTCCCATGATCATGTGATCAAAATTAAGATGCTTGGCAACTGGTTCATGTTTATGACTGTTGCTGTGTCCCAAAGTTATGTGATCACTTTTGTGACCTTCTGACAAGCAAACTCAATGGGGAAGCCAGATTCACTTAACAACCGGGTTACTAACTTATCAATTGCAATGGTTCGCTAGAAAGGTCATAAAATGGTGTGTGTGTGTAAATCACTTAACAAATGTCTCACTTAAAAATAGAAATTTTGGGTTCAACTGTAGTCCTAAATCAAGGACTACCTGTATTGTGCATTGTGGCTAATGACTTTTCTCTCCCTCTTTTTTTAGAAGCTACTGTAAAAACTAAAGCTTTTTCCTCCCTTTTTTTTAGAAGCATAGGGTCTTATATAATGGGTAAGGTGTTTGACTGACTGAAGAAACATAGATTCCAGCTCTCTGTTGACTCAGCTCAATCCAACCTACTCTACAGAAAAGGGATAAATTGGCAGGAGGCATGACTTCCCAGAGACAAGCAGAAAATAATGGTTATTATTTTAAGTAGAGATTGAATACCTGACCATAGTTCCATCAAGCCAAATAGGCCACTACTTATGCATTATGGGTTGTCAGGCTTGTTGTATCTTAATTATTGCTTACATAAGCAACCTGTATCCATTTTTGGATGAATTTGTGCTGCAGGAGAACAACCACGTAGTGGAAAACCTCAAGCATTAAAGAGAAGAACTCGTAACATTTGCATATTTGACCCAACCCTGTATATTTGGCCCATTTTCTAATAAGATGTACAAACATGTTCTGAAACTTCTGGAATGGTGTTCAGTTCCTACTTGATAGGGTAATAAACAGCAATTTTATTTAATTTGGCTACCCAGACAACTTTCTGGTATTGGCACTTAATGGTGCCCTGAAGCACTGTTTGTCCAACATCAAGAGAAGATCAAAGTGGGGAACCTGAATGTTTATATCTACAACACAACCCACAGAAGCTCCTAACAATATTCATGATTGTAAAGTTACAGGCAGACCACCCCTCCCCCTGGAACTTTTTAAAAATAGGTCAATAGTGTTCCTTTCAATGGGTCAGTTATTTCTTTAGCCTGAACAAAAATGGTCAGAGATAAAAACTGGAATCCATAATGTGCAGCAGTGAGAAAAGTTGCAGTTCTAATATTCTGTCTACAAGAGCCCCTTCCCAGTTAATGGCCTGTCCATTTATGAAAACTTGTGTCTCTTCAAGCAGTTTTATTTTGGTCTCAGCAGTATTTTAGGTGACAGGTAAAAACCGCTCCATGTTGACACGAGTAATTACAAAGTTATTTCTCCTGCCTTTCTTTGGATGCATTATATCAGCTACTGTTAGAGGACTGAAGTGTAATCTAATCTTGTATTGTTTTATAGCCTCTCCTGCATTCTGCTTTATCAGTTGTAGTTTTTATTACTTTTGTAGCAATTCTAGAGGGGTAGCCTCAGATCTGCTGACAGTTTGGCAGGGGCCTTGGCAGCCCTTCTGCATAGGTTCATCAAGTCCAAGGAAGCCATTTCCTCACAAATAGAAAAGCCAGATAGGGGCAAAATTGGTGAGGCTAGTAAAGGCCCTCTGTCTCCATAGCAAAAGATGGTCTGCCAGCAATTCTAACAGGTTCTCCTTCGTTTCCCTTCCTTTGCTGAAACAAGCATCAGAAGAGGCAAAAGAATGTACTCAGTTTTGCTAGCAAGCACATACTGGAGTTGCCTAAATTATTTGATTCCACTCATAGGGATGTCCACAGAGTAAGTAAAAAAAGTCAAGATAGCTACAATTGTGTGATTTTTTTCTTCTTCTTTGCAGCCTACCTACCTCTCTGTCTACCCAAGGTGTAACTGAGTTTCCCAAAGAGCCCTTTTCAAATGACAATCTTTGAAACATGGTGGGGGATTAAAAGAGTGCCACAGCAGTAACCTGGTTTGGCTTGGCTTGTTCCTGTGCTTCTCTTCAGAATGGAAGGCTGATCCTAAGTAAATACCCAAAGCCAACACTAAGCTTCATTGCCATCTTGGAGGGAGGCCATAACTGATTTCTTGCACAGAATTGTCATACTTAAACGAAAGGGATGGGACATAAATTCAAATTTTGTGCTGTATTCTAACTTTTTCTTCTTCCTATCCAAATCCTAGTTATGTTTTCTCCGAACTCTTTTCCTCCCTATTTCTTTCCTCATTTTTTTGTCTTTCTCAACTAGCTATTAACATTCTGGAGCTCCTGAATAAGCTTAGTTTTTGGTTCAGCTGTTTGTATACATGCTTAGATTTGCTAATTATTTGCTTTGTCTCCAAACCTAAAATGAAATCACTATCACTCTATTTTTTTTTTTGCTAGCTCTCAGCAGCAAACATTTTATTGTCTGAAGGAATGATAAATAAAACTAAATGTGCAACCGACTGAACAGGATTTGAACAGCTGGTAAGCTTGGGGGCCAAGTCTCCTGGATTCACCCACGAGTTCAGGAGATGGAATGTGAATGTAAGAGGGCCAAACAGTTCAAAGTAATAAGCATTTGCTTATAAAGTTGCTGCAGCCAAGGGTCACTCTTCTAGTTTGAAGCATGGGCTTGGCTCACCTCGCAGGAGGTTAGATGATGTAATAAAACTTTTACAACAAGAAAGAGAAATCACCAATTGTTATCCAAAGTAGGCAAAAGGTTTTCTTGTCCTCTTTTAAAAAAATATCTGCAGTGTCATGTAACCATACTGTAACTCTGTATGTAAATATTTCTCTTGTAAATATGAGGGAAGAGAGTCCATATGATAACTTTAGTGCAGTCAAGAGGTTCATGACTAAGCAATTATCTCTTTAGGTACATGACAGG